GTACTCCAGACCTCGTAATAAAAGGGAGGGGGTCTGGACCCTCCAAGACAAGCCATTTCAGACCCCCCCCCCCCGTGGGAGAACCCTCCAAAACATCGTCCCCAGACCCCCCTAGGCCCTCCAAGATAGCCTGGAAGAGACCACCCCCGAAATGAGACCCCCTCCCTTTTATTACGAAATCTGGAGTAGCTCGACTCAGCCCCTTCCCCCTGCCCCTGCACTCAAGGGGGGGGCCGCGGGTCGTTGGAGCGCCCGCGACTGCCTCGGCGCGCCAGTCGAAAGCACTCACTGCACCAAGGTCGGCCGCGCGCATGCCAGCGGGACGGGTCGGCGGCCCCGATTAAGGGGCCCCCCTTCCTTTTGATCGATTCGCCCCAAGATGGCCCCCCGAGGCCCCCACGGGCGCCCCACGGCGCCCCCAAGAGGCTCCCAAAAGACCCCGAGAAGGCCCCAAGAGGCCCCCCAGAGGCCCCCCAGAGGCCTCCCAGAGGCACCCTGGACGACCCAAGAGGCCCTGGCGATGACGCCAGCATCGATAAGTTTTCAAGGGTTCTGCCACGTTTGGGCCTCCTGGGGGAGGGCTTGATTAAGGGCCCCCCCTCCTTTGTTCGACGTCTTCCAAGGTGGCCCCAAAATGGCCCCCGAGGCCCCCCAGGGCGCCCCGCGACAGCCACAAGAGGCGCTCACGAGGCCCCAGGAGACCCCCAAGAGGCCCCCAAGGTGCTCCCAAGAGGCCGCCGAAAGACCCCGAAGAGGCCCCAAGAGGCCCCCCCAACAGCAACCAAGACGCCCCGACAACCCCTGGGGGCTGCCAAGAAAGGCCCAAGACACCCCGAGAGAACTCCACGAAACACTCGGAGGAAATCCCAAGAGGTCCCGAGAAGGCACCCGAAAGGAGGAAAATTATGGCTTTACTGTTCACCATACTCATTGTCCTCCTCGCCCCCCTCGTCCTCCTCTTCCTCCTCCTCCTCCTCCTCCTCCTCCTCCCCCTCCTCCTCGTCCCCGTCCCCCCCCTGCCCCCGAGCTCCTCCTCCTCCCCTCCTCCTCCTCCTCCTCCTCCTCCTCCTCCTCCACCGCCTCCGCCTCCGCCTCCTCCTCCTCCTCCTCCGCCTCCGCCCCGCCTCCGCCTCCGCCTCCTCCTCCTCCTCCTCCTCCTCCCTCCTCCGCCTCCTCCTCCTCCTCCTCATCATCCTCCTCCTCCTCTCCGCCTCCGCCTCCGCCTCCCCTCCGCCTCCGCCCCCTCCTCCTCCTCCCCCCCCACCTCCTCCTCCACCTCCGCCTCCGCCTCCGCCCGCACTCCATCCTCCTCCTCCTCCTCCTCCTCCTCCTCCTCCACCTCCTCCTCCTCCTCCTCCTCCCTCCTCCTCCTCCTCCTCCTCCTCCTCCTCCTCAAATTCATGAACACTATACGGGGCTGTTTTCCGGAGAACCCCCAGAGAACCCCTGGAGAACCTGGAGAACCCGGAGAACCCCTGGAGAACCCGGAGAACCCAAAGAACCCGGAAAACCCTGGAGAACCCTGGAGAACCCGGAGAACCAGAGAACCAGGAGAACCCGGAGAACCCCGGAGAACCCCCGGAAAACCCCGGAGAACCCCCGGAAAACCCGGAGAACCCTTGGAAAACCCTGGGGAACCGGAGAACCCCCGGAGAACCCTGGAGAACCCCCAGAGACCCCGGAAAACCCGCAGAGAACCCGGAGAACCCGGAAAACCCCGGAGAACCCCCAGAGAACCATCAGAGAACCCGGAGAACCCAAAGAACCTGGAGAACCCTGAGAACCCCAAGAACCCAAAGAACGCCGAAAAACGCCGGAGACGCCGGAGACCCCCCGGAAACCCCCCTTGAGCATCCAATACACAAATATATTATAATAATATATATATATATATATATATATATATATATTATATATTGCAAACACCAATATATTAGGATTCTCTTAAAATCTCCTCCGCTAAGATTTTCTGTCAAAATTCGCACCCAAGAAAATCCCCCTAGATGAGGGGCGTCGCCTTCTTTGGGCCTTTTTTTTTCTCATACTCAGCGCAAGAGACGAACAACAGGCTGCCCCATAAACTTCGTCATGCATGCTCTTGAAAACTCGGACGCGTTCGGAGCACCCCCTCTGCGCTTCCCAAACGCCGCAACGGACCCTCCAAAGTCTTCATCTCGGTAGTTCCAGTGCTTGGACGGTTGTCCCCCAGAAGAACAGAATTCCAAAAATAAACGCAGCTTGGATTTAATGCGAAATATGTTATCATGCGCCGTCGCCAAAGCAGCGAAGTGTTGAGCAAAACGCACAGAATGCTCCAGCATCGTGTCTTTCGTAAATGGGAAAAGACCCTGCAAGCGCAGCGTAGCAGCGTGACAAGCTCTGCATGCAAAAATACATAGAAGACTCCACGGGGTCATTCCTGTCGCAGAACTGTTCCGCAAGTTCCATACCCCACGGTATTAGATGCCGAACCATACCAGCGCTACATCTGAGCTTGGGATAGCTGTTTGATTTGCCTTTCACAACCCCAATGCTCAAGTGAGGAAGCCTGTTCGGCGCGCCGTTCGGAGGTTGTCTATCGTGAAACCCCTGCATCATAAGGTGCATCTCTCGCATGCGCTGCTTCTGCGTGCCGCCTGGGACTTTCCTCTCGACGACGCAATACCACATCAGAGAGCCCATAAAATCTGCAGCTACACCTAAATCCGCGCAGCGCAGCCAATCCAACATCAAAATTCGCACGCTGGCAAACGGAACCATCAACAAAGGGCATACTCGATGTCCAGAACCCAGGATTTTCATCAAAAGTTCTTGCCATGATCTGCGGTCCGTGCGCCAGGGCGCGTCGTGGCCGATCTCGGTAGAGACCGCGCGGGCATCGAAAACTTCGCTTTACCATCCTCCCTCTCCTGTTCTGCCTCTGCCTCCTCCGCCTGCTCCTCGGCTTGCCCACCCTCCTCGACGCCCCCGTCACTTGGCGCCTCGCCCTCCCCTCCTCCCCAGCGCATCGCTCCTCCCCCTCACGTATGATTTCCCGTTGCGTGCCTCCTCGTCGTCGTCGTCGTCCTCCTCCTCCTCCTCCTCCCCCTCCTCCTCCTCCTCTTCCTCCTGCTGCTCCTCCTCCTTGCCCTCCTCCTCCTCCTCCGCCCCTCCTCCTCCTCCTCCGTCTCCTCCTCCATCTCCTCCTCCTCCTCTCCCCTCCCCCTCCTCCTCCTCCTCCTCCCCCCCCCCTCCCCTTCTCCACCTCCTCCTCCTCCTCCTCCTCCCCCTCCTCCTCCTCCTCCCCCTTCTCCTCCTATCCGTCTCGTGTTTTATTGATTTGCTTATGCGCGTTGCCATCCCTTTCCTCCATCCCCCTCTCCCCCCCCCCCCTTGCCTCCCCCAGCTAATGGTCCGCACTCCACCTCTCAACTCGCCCTGCTGGCCCCGCGCGCAGCGTTGATGGCCCCCCCCCCACTTCTTGGGCGAGCGCCCCCTAGCGACAGGGGATGGCCTTTGCAACGTCAGCGCGGGGGGCGCGCAACTTTCGCGCCGGGGCCCCCCTCCTCAGGCAGCGCAGGGGGGGTGGGGCGGTGGGGCAGGGGTCGGTGGAGGCAGAACTGGGTTGGCTATGTGTTTTTCCCTGTGACCTCGGGCAGCTTGATCTTACACTGGAAGCAGCGCTCCGCGCCCTGCCACCCTGGCAGCTTCAGCACCTCCTTGAACATCTTCCAGTCGCCCTTGATCTGGCAAACAACGCCCCTGAGAGGGAGTCGCCCTCTCTCGCTATGCTGTTTGGCCCTCCACTTGTCGCTCTTCCCGAATGGCGATCCATCGCGTCTGCACGATGGCCACGTTTTGGTTGCGAGGTGCGCGAATGACCAGCGGACAATTTCAAAAATGTCATCCAGGGCGTTTGGGGGCAACTGGTTCTTCAGCAAGCATGCGATGGGCACGCGGAGGTTCGCGCAGCGCTCCTCTAAGCCAGGCAACAGGAGCGAAACAATTTCAGCGGCCACGCTGCGGTCCCAGTTACAAGGCACACCGTCTTGCCAGATGCCGCATGGGACCGTGTCGGAGTCGCCGAGGGACGACGCTGCACTGTTGAACTGCCCCAGCGAAACGGGATCTAACCCAGACGCGCCAGTCATAACATCTGCGTGGCCGAAGAACGCCAAACGATCCAAAATCTCCCGGGGCAGCATTAAATGCATTTTCTGCAGCTCCTCCACCTGCCTTCTAGTGTTCCACACCCGCACGTCGCACACGCACAAGGGTGGCCAACCGTTCTTTCTGAAAATCTGGCGAAGGAAACGTGGAGCATTGCCCGGGCATTTTTCTGATGGTACTAAATCAGCAACGCCTGCGGCACCAGAGCGGTGGATGTCGTTTGCCAATTGGAGCCCCCTGGCGCCCGACACGATGTTGCGCGACACGAGGTCAGCGACATTCGCCCTCAGGCGTTTGTCTGCTGGCAGCGCGCGCCCGCCATAAGGCAGCGCGCGTTTGGACAGCATGCTGCGGCGACCTCTCTCGAGCCAAAAGCTACGGTCGTCCCTCGAGCCAAAAGCTACGGACGCATCTTGCGCACTGGCGCGCCCGACAACAGGGCCACCCCTGCAGGAGAGGGGCGACGAGAAGATGCGAAGGCTCCCCACGAGAAGGGGCCGCGCTGGATACCGGGCGAGGCGGCGAAAGGGGGGTGGAACAGCAGAGGGAGAAAAGGAGAGAGAACGAGAGAGAGAGATATATATAGAGAGAGAGAGAGATAACAGACGAACGTGAGTGAGAGCGAGAAGCAACGAACGGACAGACAGACAGACAGGAAACAGACAGACAGACAGACAGACAGAGATAGGCAGAGACAGACAGGGGCAGACAGACAGAGAGCCCCCATCAAGGTATGCGCGCATATTTTCTTGTTGGAGCGTCGCCTTGCGCCTCCATCTCTAGCGCATGCGCGCCGAGGGAATGATATGGATGTAACTCAGGGGGCTGCGAACATGATATGGAAACGCCACTCACTCCACGTAGCGCGAGAACCTCTTGACCGCCAGTTTGATGCCGTCCAGGTGGTGCTCTGCGGTGGACTTCATGGCTACGAGATCCTTGTTCAGATTGGCAGAATCCTCTTTCTTCTCGTTCGTCTCGTGAGTGATTCCCGTCTTCTCGATCAGGAGCTCCACCGCCTCCTCGTGATCAGTCGCGAGCTTGAGGGTCTTGTCAGCCTCCTTTGCCCAGGTGTCATGTTGGCCTTTGTCACTGTCCTTGGCAGTCTTGGCGTGATTGTGGAGCTTCGCGCGGAGCGTCTTCAGCTTCTTCATCTCAGCCTGGTACTTCGACAGGGTAGACCTAAGCGCAAGAAGAGGGAGGGGGGGAGCGCCTGTGAGGGGAGTGAGCAGGAAGACGAGGGAGAGGAGAGATTGCTGAGGCGATGGCGTGATCGAATCCTTGTTCGCCTGGATGTTCGGTCACAGCGGGTTCTCCAGCTTCACTGGGTTCGCGCTCGCACTGCTGCTGCCACTGCACAGCTCCCCCATCCTGGCTGCTGCCCATTCCAGCGCTTTTGCCGACTTGACGTTTCCCTCGCCCGTAAACTTTTTCTTGTCAGACGTCTCCAAGCTGTCCTCAGACATCTGTGGGAAAATGAAACAGAACTCGTGCCACAATATGCGGTCCTTCTTGTCGTACTTCACTGGAAACGCCTCCTTCGCATTGCACGTCTGTGAACTCTCCCCCCACCACTCCTGGACGAACTCGAGAGCCAGCTTATGATCCTTAAAATCTGACAATGAAAGGTTCTGTTCTTTCAAAGCTTGCGGAACTGTGACGCACCCCTTCTTGGCCCATTCCTTATGTTTTTTCTGCAGTTTCGCATTCTTCGTGAAACGTACGCACCCAGTCCAAGTTATTGCTCTTATCCTTCTGGAAGCTCTCCAAGAACATCTTGCGCTCTGATGGGCTCTTGCAACTCGACCAAACTGCCTGCGCTTCCGCTGCCTCATTCTGCAAATCTGCATCAGTGCCCGAGGAATTGTACTTGAGCCAGTTGCGCATCTTTGTGGCCTCCTTCGGGTCGACCCCCTTCCCCCTTAGAAGCCTTGCATCTCTTAGGAGCGGGGCCAGAGTCGTCGCCTTTCTTCGCCCCGCACACCATCGACGAACAAAGAATCATCATCGGCGCGGCACACGCGAAGCAAGAAACCGCGGCGGGAGGAGGCATGCTGTCGAACCGTACAAGGATCCAACACTCGCAAATGTAAATATGACAATCAGCGCGCCGAGAACAAGCGGACCTTGAGCCGAAAAGCACTTGCGGGATGCATGCTGCCCCCTCCCCCCTTTGGCCCTACCTGCCTCCTTCCTCGTCGGTCCTTCCTTGCCGTAGCGCCCTGATCCACATAAATCCGCCATGCTCATCCTGCCCCCCAGAAAGCCCCTACAGTAGGGGCACGAACCAAGAGGACAATGAGATCTAGGCTAGATACCCCTATCAAGGGGTGATCACGGACTGCGAGCGAATGGTAAGCATTTGCACTACCGCTATTAAGCTGATCAGAGTGCAGGGTCAGAAGCCCCGCGGTCAAACCACCAGTCTTTGTTCGGAAGTGTTGGTTTCATCCGGCAACGCAAAGTGAACCAATCTGCCGCTAGAAAGCGGGCAATCTCGTTTCTGAAATTCTATTAAATAGAACTTCTATTTAATAGAATGTGGGTTTTGCTTGATACTTCCTTCAATTCTATTAAATAGAATTTCTATTTAATAGAATCGGGCGTGTCTTCTGTGGCCCAGCTGAGCGGGCTTCCAGTCGCAGCCAGCGTGCAACGACTGTCGTAGATATGGATGTGAAACCCACCGCGGGTCTCAGGCCCCCTTCGCGCCGCACACGAGGAAGTCGCCCTCTGGGAGGGGGGGGGGGGGGGGTGCGCAAGTGCAATGTGTGGGAGGGAGACAGATCCACTACAGAAGTGGTGACGGCTCTCAAGGAAAAGCATCGCGGTCCTAGTTCCCCTTGCGGCCGCCCTTCTTGCCGTCCTTCTTGCCCCCGCCCTTCTTCGCCTGGGCGTCCTCGTCTTTCTCCCGCTTCTCCTCCTCGTCTTTCTTCCGCTGGTCCTCCTCGCGTTTCTTCCGTTCCTCCTCCGCCTTCCGATCGGAATCCTCTTTCTGCTTCCTCTCGGCTTCTGCCCTCGCGTCGTCCTCTTCCTTCTTCTTCCTCTCTTCCGCTGCTGTGCGGGCCTGCTCTGCTTGCGCCAGTCCCCGCTCCTCTGCAGCCTTCCTGTCGTTCTCCATTTCTGCCGCCTCTCTGCGTCAGCCCTGCCCTGCTCCGCAGCCGCCGTGGCCATAGAAGCCGCCGTCGCCACCTCCAGCGGACTCGCAGTGCTTGCGCAACTGCCCCCGCCTCCCCCGCGCCTGGCGTCAGCTCTCTTTTTCTTGCGTTCTCGCTCGTGGCGCCTGTCCTCTTCCTGCTTGCGCTTCCGACTTTCTTCGGCTGCGCTCCTGGATTCCTCCTCTTGCAGCCTCATCGCCGCAGCCTCCTATACTTCCTGTTGCCTGAGTTGTTCACGCTCCTCCGCCTCTGTTCGCTCCTGCTCGATTCGTTGGAAAGCTTCGGCTGCTCTGCTAGCGACGCTCACCTCTGCTTGCTCCAAGACGCGCAGGACTTGCCTCGTCATCTCTGCTCTCCTCCTCCTCTCGTCTGCCTTCGCTTGAATCTCCCTTTCTTCCGCCTGCCTGGCTGCTTCCTTCCTCTCTTCCTCTTGTCGCCGAAGAGCTGCTTCCTCGCGTCGTCGGGCTGCTTCCTCGCCCCTCCGCGCCTGCTCCTGCAGAGCCCCCCTTTCCATCTCCTCGCGTGAAGCCGTTCTCTCGCGCCCCCTCCTCCTCAGCCTCTTCAGGATTGCGCGCCCTCTCTCGTTGAGATCCTCCGTCTCAGCGCCGCTAGTGTCGCATGCGTCCGCCTCTGGGCTGAGCGGGGCCCCCTCGCAGGTCTCGGTCTGCATTCCTGCCTCCTGCGTCGCAGGCTGCGTCGCTGGATGCGCGCCTGCAGCTCCTGCTTCCGCGCCTCCTCCTCCTGCTTCCGCGCCTCCTCCTGCCCCCTCGGCCAAGCCCTGGGGGTTGCGGACAATATGCCCCTAGCTGAGGGGTCATTAATACAAGTAGGGATGTTTGCACCCCTAGCAAAGGGGAATATTATCGTAGGGCTGTTTTGGCGTCCCCTAGCGCAAGGGTGCTTTATTTCCTGATCCCCATCGCGTCCTCGGCGGCGTTCACGAGAGCTTGCTCGTTCCTGTCCATCCTCTGCCGCTGCCACCTGGGAGGGGGAAAGGGGGGGGGGAAGCGGAGGCGGAGACGGTGGAGGAGGAGGAGGGGGGGGGGGGGGGGAGGGGGGGGGGGGGGGGGAGGAGGAGGAGGAGGAAGAGAAAGGAGGGGAAAGGAGGAGGCAGGAGGGAGGAGGCGGAGGAGGAGGAGAAAAGGAAACGGATGTGAAGAGGGAGAAGGGGGGAGGGAGGGAGGGGGGAGGAGGAGGAGGAGGAGGAGGAGGAGGAAGAGAAGGGGGAGGAGGAAGAGGAGGAGAAGGAAGGAGAGGAGGAGGAAGAAGGGAAGGAGGAGGAGAAAGAGGAGGAGGAGGAGGAAGAACCCTGCAAGAACAGAAACTCGGATTGAAAAACTGCGAAAAGTTTGTCATACCAAACTCTGGTGACAAGAAAGGTTTATCATGTCAAACTTAGGTTTCCAGTGGGCGCGCAGTGTAATGGGTTCCCATGGGGGCCACCTGGCGCGCTCGGCCTCCGACTTGCGGCCGCGATAGCGGCGACCTCCTGCGGAGATGAAGCCCCGCCCCGCCCACCAGCGAGAGGCGTGGTGCTCCTGGCAGGAACGCGACACGCACGTGAAGACCCACGTGCGCCTGCTGCACTTAGCGCACAGCTGGATCTTGTCCGTGCGCAAGAACGGCCTTGTTGGAGCCCTCGTGTACCGCTTCTCCCAGAGATCCCTCAGCATCTCAGCCTCATCCTCCTCCTCCTCGTCTGAGACGGCGGTCACGTCGTCCTAGGGGGGGAAAGAGGGGGAAGACAAAACAAATCCTCTATTGAAGAGGCGTCCCCTAGCAAGGGGTAAACTTTTGCATCCGACCCAGCGTCCTTCGCGTCATCGAGATGACGCTTCCGCGGAAGATCGCCCCACTGGTCGCCGCCGCTGCCTCCCGGAGCAGATCCGCTGCCAGCGATCATCGCCTGAGGGATGGGCGGGGGGGGAGGGTTGGCGCGCGCCCTCGCTCTTCTCCGGCTCTACCCAAGGAGTTCCTGGAGGGAGAAGGTTTCTCTTAGAAAACTTTGGTTTCTGAATCCCCTGATCCCCATCTCGCCCCTGACATCCGAACCTCCTGATTTGTTTCCAAGACTCGCGGCCCCCGCCCCCTGCGAAGCGAGCCATGCGGCGAGCGCCGCGAACACAAGAGCGGATTTCGTCATTGCGCGAAGGCCTTCTCGTGAGCCTCGCGGGCTCGATCGCCTTGAGCCGCAAACGGCTGCACTGAACGTAAACAATCGAAATATATTGCTGTGGTTCCCCCGAATGAAGGGGCGCGTCCCCTAGCAAGGGGTTCGTGACGCCCCTGGTGGAGGGGATGTAAACATTATATATTAGCGTGAAGAGATGAGATGGCGAGCCCCTGACAGAGGGGAAGTGCTGCGTAAGATGACGATGCGTGCTGATGATGGTGATGATGATCGTGATGACGATGAGGAGGGGGAGGATGAGGGTAATTCCATCGATCAGCTCCTCCATCAGAGCGTCCGCAGCGCCCCGCGCAACATCCTTCGTCTCAGCAATCGCGCCCTCCTTGAGCTGCTCGCACACCTGCCTGCCGATGTCCAGCAGCTCCTCCTTCGACACCTTGTCCCTCGCAGCGGCGCCTCCGAACGAGCATAGCTGATTCTTCTTCCCGTGCAGCAGTTTGATCCCCACCCTGTAGTCCCTCTTGCACCAGTCAAGGTGATAATCGCGCCCGTCGACAGCGCCTCCAACTGCTTCGTCGGCTAGCTCGTCCTCCGCCTCGTCGTCGCCACCGCCTCCCGCGTCCTGCTGCTCCTCCTCCTCCTCCTCCTCGTCTTCCTGCCCGCCGCCTTCTTCTCCGTCCGAAGCCTCGCTGGCAGCCTTCGCGCGGGCAGCGCGCTTCCTGGGTGGTCCCTTCATCGCTGCAGCAGGGCGCTTCCTGGCTGCTTTCATACACTTTTTCTTCATTGTGTTTTTTGTCAGGTTTCGTCAGCGCCCCCTTCTCTCGGGCCTCCCGCTTCTTCCGCCCCTCAGCATGGGCAACGAGCAAGGCGTTGGACTGGTCTGTCTCGATATT